GAGACCCCACCCCCTTCTAGATTGACACGGCGTATGTGGTATTTTTGTATAGACGCCCCCCCCCCCCCCCTCTCAACAAATTGAAATGTAAGCTCCTATTACCAACCATGTGAAAGATATGTTTTGACTAATACTTGATGATACAAATTTGCCGGGAAACCGCCTACTTATTCATATATTCGGTAAATTATCATATCTATCCGGTCTGGATAGATATAGCGTAGTCACATATACATCTTTCTGTGTACAGTGCTTGTAACTTTACCAAGACTGGGCCAAATTTCTTATCATTTTGATGATTTCATAATCTTGCAGTACACACCAATACTGATATGCTAGATGATCAACCTTTTTCTGATCGATTCCGCAATGTTTCTTTCTGACCAGAACTGAACTATACCTTTAATCCCTCCGTGTTGGCAATGCTGCGAACATTGGATTTCTCGTCGTACATGGTTGGCGCCCAAAACAGCCGGATACTTTATTCCGGTCTTCCTCTATACTAGTATTATATAGTCTGAGCGAGGAATTAATATCAAAGCATTATCTTTCAAATGCTAAGAAAGGATTAGTTTTGCCACGTAGCAGTCATATTGCGCCTGACGTCAACAAGGCAAATATACCATGTATTTTACGAACCTTAATGAAAAAAATAATGCGTTAGCTATCCTAATACTTAAACCGACCATGCCTTTAAGAATAGCGAAACCGAGAATACATGTATCTGCGAGATTCTCATTAGAGATTTTGTTTTAAATAAAAACGATTCATGATGTGAACTTTCTAATAACTGCCGTTCAAATCGGCCATAATAGTCATTATGATCAACATGATTTATGGTTTGTACTGGCGCAGACATACCCCTACTAAAGCTATTTTCAGTCGCGATTTGATGAGAAAGAGGGGGCGAAAGGGAGAGGCGTTGATAGAACTAAGATGGGGGAGAGGGGTTGGAAAAAGAGAGGGGAGAGGGAGACAGAGAGAGAAAGAAAATTAGAGGGGGAGTGAGGGAGAGAGAAAAATGCAACTCAAAATCAAATTTGTAATCGTAATTCTACGTTATTAATAACAATAAATTCTCAACATACTTGACAAGCTTTGCATGAAATTGTAATAGTAATGTCAACGGTATAAACTAATTCCAAAGATGCTCTTAAACTCACTGGTTAGAATTCCCAGCAATATTGATTGGCAACTGTAGAGCTGACGGCCTCGCGGAGGATAAAATATATTTCAAAGTCACTCAATATGTATGAGTGAGATAGGGGTTTTCCCTGGTATCCAGGAGGGGCCGCTAGCTCAGTAGCCCCCAAGGGGTTTTCCCTGGTATCCAGGAGGGGCCGCTAACTCAGTAGCCCCCAAAGTCCATGTATTGATTCCTAAGTAATACAAAGCTGCCCATGAACATTCGAAATAATTTTCGTACCTCTTTTCTCGAAATTCTTTCGACGATAATCATGATCTATTCTTGAAAGAAAAAGTTTATATCTCTGCAAAAAAAACCTTATCGATTAATGTTATCGATTGATCAACCTGTATATATAAAAAAAACATGGGTCATACTGTCATAATAATGTCATTCAATGAGGAAAAAAGATTTATTCAAACTTCATGGGTGACCGTTCAGACAGCATGCTTGATCTCGCGTCACTCTTTATTTTTTGTTTTGTTTTTGTTCTGTTTTTTGTTTGTTTGTGGTGGGAGTGGGTTTTTTGTTTTGGGGGGAAGAATCTTCCTTGTACAATTTATTTAAGTAAAGTCCGAACAATTTTGATTATATTTTGATTGTTGAATGCCTGACAATGTGAGCATTTAGCATCACTTTATCACCACATTCATGCAGGCTATCTATGCTTAATAAGGTCATTTCATTTCATACTATAATATGTCAGAATTTTAACAATACATGCTAATTTCAAATGACCACTTCTCAATTCAATATGTATTTGTACCGTATTAAGTGCGATTTGTTTGATATATTCAAGACTAATGATAACACACATCGAACTCATAAACAAGATAAATGCAAGTAAGCAATTGTTCTTTTTTTCCTTTTTCTTCTCTTTTTATTTTGTTCTTCTTCTTTTGTTCTGTTGTTCAAGTGGGTTAAATATGGTGGCCCTGAAGGGACATCGCGAATAGACTAAATCGTGAATATGCGATAAAATTCACGATATCGTCAATTTTATCGCATATTTTTCACGAAGAAATTCACGAAATTGACGATATCGTGAACTTTATCGTGAACTTTTCACGATGAAATTGACGATATCGTGAATTTTATCATGAAAAGTTCACGATATAAAGTTCACGATATCGTCAATTTTATCCTGTACTCTATCGTGTACTCTATCGTGTACTCTCCTGACGGGCGCTTCGTAAACAAAACCAGCCCTAGCTGGGGGAGACAGAGAGAAGGAAAAAAGGGAAAGGGAAAGAGAAGATAAAAGGAAAGAAAGAATAATAAGAAGAAAAGAGGGAAACGGGGGGGGGCGAAGGGCTCTTGCCTCCTCCTCACTACCCCCCCCCCCCCTCCCCGCCAAAAAATAAATCAGAGAGAGAGAGAGAAGGGAAAGGGAAAGGGAAAGAGAAGATAAAAGGAAAGAAAGAAGAGGAAGAAGAAGAAAAGAGGAAAACGGGGGAAGGGCGAAGGACTCTTGCCCCCCCCTCCCCCCCCCCGCCAAAAAAATAAATAAGAGAGAGAGAGAGAGAGAAGGAAAGGGAAAGAGAAGAAAGAAAGAGAAAAACGAAAAAGAGGGAGAATAGGAAAGAAAGGAAAAGAAAGAAAAGAAACGAGGTAAGAGCCCTTCGCCCCTGTTTCCCTCTTTTCTTATTCTTTTTCCTCTTCTTTCTTTCCTTTTATATTTTCTTTCCCTCTCCCTTCTCTTTCCCTTTATGGCGGGAGGGGGGAGGGGGAGGTAAGAGCCTTTCGCCCTTCCCCCGTTTCCCTCTTTCCGTCTTCTTCTTCTTTCTTTCCTTTTATATTTTCTTTCCCTTTCCCTTTCCCTTCTCTCTATCTCTCTCTCTCTCTCTCCTATTTATTTGTTGGCGCGGGAGGGGGAGGAGGCAAGAGCCCCTCTTTTCTTCTTATTCTTCTTCCTTTCCTTTTTTATTCTCTTTCCCTTTCCCTTCTCTCTCTCTCTCTCTCTCTCTCTTATTTATTTTTTGGGCGGGGGATGCAAGAGCCCTTCGCCCCCGTTTCCCTCTTTTCTTCTTCTTCTTCCTCTTCTTTCTTTCCTTTTATCTTCTCTTTCCCTTTCCCTTTCCCTTCTCTCTCTATCTCTTATTTTTTTTTTTGGCGGGGGGTGGGGAGGGAGGAGGCAAGAGCCCTTCGCCCTTCCCCCGTTTCCCTCTTTCCTTCTTATTCCTCTTCTTTCTTTCCTTTTATATTTTCTTTCCCTTTCCCTTTCCCTTCTCTCTCTCCTTATTTATTTTTTGGCGGGGGGGAGTGAGGAGGAGGCAAGAGCCCTTCGCCCCCCCCCCCCCCGTTTCCCTCTTTTCTTCTTATTATTCTTTCTTTCCTTTTATCTTCTCTTTCCCTTTCCCTTTTTTCCTTCTCTCTGTCTCCCCCAGCTAGGGCTGGTTTTGTTTACGAAGCGCCCGTCAGGAGAGTACACGATAGAGTACACGATAGAGTACACGATAAAATTGACGATATCGTGAACTTCATATCGTGAACTTTTCACGATAAAATTCACGATATCGTCAATTTCATCGTGAAAAGTTCACGATAAAGTTCACGATATCGTCAATTTCGTGAATTTCTTCGTGAAAAATATGCGATAAAATTGACGATATCGTGAATTTTATCGCATATTTTTCACGATTTAGTCTATTCGCGATGTCCCTTCAGGGCCACCATAGTTAAATCCCGTGTACAATGGAATAAGCAATGTTTTTCTTCTTTCTTGTCCCCCCCCCCCCCCCCTTTGCGTTTAATACAGGGCTTGAATCCTCTGGTTTACATTTTTTAAATCCTTCTTCCATTTGCTCACGGAATAATCATTGGATAAACACATTTTGTAAACAGAAGAGGGTCGGGAAGGGCAGGGTTGGAGTAAAACACCTGCGGAGTGGAGACCGATGCTTCCCGTCCACCGCTTGTCCTCGGCTCGCAATGAATTTCTCATCATGATTTATTCAAGCTTTTCGATCACACTCCATAGTCCTCTTGTGTTTCCCGGTCTTCCCCAGTGCAATCGAAAAAAGAAGGGAAAAAGGGTTAGGATAACATAAAGCTTTCGATTCCCATTGATGGATAGGTTGCATTTTTATGTTCTGAAGCTTTTTTGTTAGATACATTATTAGCATCGAAGGTCACCCAAACCCACCCCCGTCCCCCACCCCCACCTCTCTCTATCTCTCTCTCTCTCTCTATCTCTCTCTCTATCTCTCTCTCCCTCTCTCTCGAAGGCTGGGAATGGCATTATGTTATTGTCAGGAACATCGCGTGGGGTTACCTTTGCGAGGCTCTGGTGATCTAAGGGGAGGGGGCACCACTTCTACTTTATGGATGAAACGTGAGAGACAATGCAATTGAGTGGTGCCCCCTCCCCCTATGGGAGGTATAATAGGGGACTGTGTCACCTTCTTATCAAGTTTCCTTCTCTCCAATCTCCATTTCATTCTCTTTTTTTCTTTTTTTTTAGTTTCCTCTGTTTTTTTGGGGGGTGGGGTATTCGACATTCGGTTGGCAGGTTGGGGATATGTGTCCCCTCTAGCTAAAGCTCAATCTTCTGTAGTTGTATTGGGCACAATTTTTTTAATCAAAATTTCAAAATGTTGAGAAGTATATTCAGCAGTTTGAAGTAGTATTTGTTAAGCCCCTAAAGGAAGGTTACCTCCACCCTCTTTCTCTTTTAAATCCTATTTATTCTTTATCCTCCCTGTAAAATCGTTGAAAATAACCTTTTAGTTAAATTACAATCTTACTTAATTTCTTCGTCACGAAATAAATCTAACAAAAACACCATCCCATTCACATTTTCGTTTCTCCCCAGGACACACTTCGAAGATAAACACACAAAAATCACCATGACAACAGCGGCAGACGATCAGTACTCGGTGCTATCGGAGCGCAAAGGTATCTATCCACACTACTCGTCTACTGCAGCGTACGTACTGGGCAGCCTACAGATCGTTGGAGCTGTAGTTTCAATCATACTTGGTATCGTTTCGATAGCTTTGAAGACACTTTTCTACTTCTACTTGGAACCAGTGTGGGCCGGAGTGGGCGTAAGTTAACTGTGACAAATTTTGTTTATTGTTTCTTTTGTATTATGTGTAATTATTCTTTCTCATCCCTTCTTCCTATTCTTACCGTCCTATACCGCCCCCATATACCTCCCTTTTAAACAATTAATTAATACTTCTGTAAATAAGGTGGCCATATATTTATCATGTCAATCACGTCATTGGTCCTTGTCTAGTCTCTGGAATCAACCACGGAGATTATAACTTCAACAGAGACAGCGTTGTAATTACAGCCCCCCCCCCCCTTCCTTCGTTGTGCGATGAAGAAAAATGATAAGAAAAAATGAAATGGAGAGAAAAAGACGGAAATGGAGAAAACAAGATGACATGATCCTCGCCTACATCCTCCCTGATCCTCCCCTCACTATGCCCTGGTTCTCTTTCATTTCATCTATCTTATAATTCCTGCCCCCCCCCCCCCCCCCCCCCCCCCACCCTCTCACCCCTCTTCTCCTGTTCCGCCAGTAGCTTGACACACTATACGTCACTGATAATCAACATCGTAGATGGCGAAATAGAGAGAGAAAAAACATACTTTCTAAAAACTTCAAGTTTTAAATCAACAGCGTAGTTAACGCAGTGGTGAATCTTTACAAAAATTAACGCGTTCGATACAAACTCTAAAGTGTTGATCCAACAATATAAAGAGTGGGATACAATATTTTGAAACACTGCCACTATTTAGCCCCATTAGTAGGTCAGTAAAAAGTTTAGACTATTAGCAGTGCATAATAATTTAGTTATTGAGTTAGAAATTACTATTCTTCTATTTTCTCTACTATCTCTGTTATCTCTACTATTTGATTTGTTATGAATGAAATTGTATTTAGTTTTTGTGATATCGATTTATTCTTTGCAAATAATTTGTGATTATTATTGATATTATTTTTGTAATGTTGTCTTCTTTTGTATACGGACTTGCTGAAAAACAGCCCTGCGGCTAAAGGGTTTTTCTCACACTATTGAAAAGAAGATTTAAAATAACAAACAAACAAACACGTATTTACAAGAAAATGTTGTGTAGGAGGTTTTAAAATTTCTAAACAGCAAAAATCGTTAAAGGTAAAGACCAGTTATGGTCATGCGATTGCATTGTGAAAGAAACATTGTGGAATCGATCAGAAAAGGTTGATCATCTAGCATCTAGCATCTGCAAGGTTCTGGAATCATCAAAATGATAAGAAATTTGGCCCATTCTTCGTAAAGTTACAAGCACTATACACAGAAAGATGTATATGGGACTACCCTATATCTCTCACAGTCAAATAGATATCATAATTTACCAAATATATCAGTTAGTAGGCGGTTTCCCTTTAGGTAAAGACCATTATTGGAAACGCCCCAATTTCAAAAAATGAAATGGAAGCTCTCATTACCAATCATGTGAAAGAATATGTTTTGACTAATACATGATGATACAAATTTTGCCGGGAAACCGCCTACTAATTCATATATTTGGTAAATTAATTTATATATTGGTGTGTGAGAGATAAACTCACGTGTCGCGCACGTGTGCGTATAGTCCCATATTCATCTTTCTGTGTACAGTGCTTGTAACTTTACGAAGACTGGGCCAAATTTCTTATCATTTTGATGATTCCAGAACCTTGCAGTACATCTATGCTAGATGATCAACCTTTTCTGATCGATTTCACAACGTTTCTTTCACAATGCAATCGCATGACCATAACTGGTCTTTATCTTTAACGAAATTCTTGCGGACTGGTCATATAAAATTATTCAAAGCGAGCCAAGTTCTACCACCGCCTTTTCATTGTCAGTGTCCAATACAGCAATTGCCAATTTTCCTTGAAAGACGCTGCATGGGGTATACTAATGAATTGCATATTTTTAATAAATATGAGAGCCCCGCTCGGTGTAACTAAACAATCTAAAAGAAGGGGGGATATGCGAACGTTTTAGCCTGTAGTTAGGCGGGATAAGACAGCGATGAAAGACAAGATTGAAATTAAGACAGCAAAATGCTTACCCCACTCAACCGGAAAAAATATTAATGAACGAGTTTTCTTTTATTTATTTGACAATCCTTTGGAGCCAAGAGTAAATCTGGTTAGGGGTGATAGAGATCGTGACCCATTTTCCTCGGTCATTAATGTCTGCAAGCCATATAGGTTCGTGACAATTAGAGAGCCGAGAAGGGAACGTGCACCAAACTCCCTGGCTTAGAGGAGAGACTTAAAGATTTGGTTATGTCTTTTTTCTTGAGGTTGACTTCAATATGATATTGAGCAGCCGCAAAGGTTTCTGAAAGAAAAATGGAGCATTCAAACTTAAGTAAAATATTTCAAAGGGTGTCCATAATATTTTCAAATATACATGTATATCAAACGACTAGCTTCATATGTTATATCCCAAAGAAAAATATGGATGAAAATCTGGAATCCTTTATACAATATGATTAATAATATTAAGAATTCAGGCCATTTTTAATTTCTTCGACTCTAAAATCCGACATCTACCAACGAGCTCAAAATCTCCAGCTAACAAAACCAATTGTTTATCTCCATCTTATCTTAACCTTAAGAGTTTTTCTCTATCTTTAGAGCCATAAAATATAGGTTTTTAAATTCTTCGAGGGGCAACAAAAATCTGTGTTTACAGAATTGGTGCATGGGGAACGCACGTTATGGCTAAGGGTTCTCGTGGAGAGGGCGTAGGAAAATGGGACCATTGAGGAAGGGAACCCTCCTGACCCCACGAGTTCTGACTTGCCAAATTTAAACTAGAAACTTAGATAACTAAACTATTGAGACAAAATAAGACTATGGGTATAATTATTGTTGATTCTTTAACCGAATGAAAGACAAGACAGAATTACACAAGAAGTCCAACCAAGGATTGAAAATTGTATAACGTCAAAGTGCACGTCATTATATGAATCGCATGAACTGAGTACGTACTTTTCTCCCATGCGATACATATTCAACCACAATCATTCGTTTTTTCCATTCACGCCCAGGGACTTAGCCGGATTTGATCAAAGTAGTAATGCCTCTCATTTCATTAAAAAATATACAGCTGTGGGGGTTTTCCCTTTGAGGGACTTTCTTTCACCCATTGGCGCGTTGATGATAGTGATTTCCATTAAGGAGTTACTGTACTTTACGGTTTTTCTTCCCCATTAACAAAATATACTTCTCCTCCCACTGAATAATTTGTTTGTCATTAGAGCTCGTTCAGGGGTTTTTTTTGAGGTGGGATGATAGACTTGCGGGAGCCAAATACATCATAATAATGTACGTTTATGTACACAAATTAAAGTAAAGCTCTGCACTATTTTGGCCAGGAGGGATTAGACCTCCCTGCATGGTCACTGACAGGTGGTTATCTCATCAAATCAGCTCTCAATTACCATAAGAAAAAGGGGACCATGGGGGACCAATGGTCACCGATTAGGCATTGTTTGCTATATAGAGGGCGCAAGTAGCTATAAGTAGTGCAGTGGGGCTTTAAAGTCAAGGGCCCGTTGTCATTTCAGTAGATGGCATCGGTACTCGCTGCTCCGACGATTGCTCCTGGTTTTATGTCGTCAAAAGTATAAGGTTAGGGTTATTATTATCATCATTATTATTTTGGTGTTATTTCTTCTGGTTAATCTTAAACGGAAAGGAAAATTGTAAAATGTAAAGAGGAAAATCTTTTCTGAAGCTTTAACCCCCTAGTAATAATAAGCATTTATATAGCGCCGTCTAATTCGAGACAATTCTTCTCCGTGGCGCACAAGAAAAATAGAAAGAATAAGAGAGTTTGGATGAGTGTCATAGTGACAAGTACAGGTATTGTTTTAAAAAAAGATGAGATTTCAGCTTGGATTTAAAGGTCTCTAAGGAAGTTATGATTCTCAAATTCAATGAAAATTATTCCAAAGAGAAGGTGCTGCAGCTGTACGTGACTTGATATCGAGAATAGACCTGGATTGAACTCCTAAATGGGATGGTAAGAAAAACATTATGGCGGCACATCGCTATGATCTTGATGGTCTTAAATCCCTCCTGGACTTAAGAGAAGTGCATGACCAATCCGATTCATTTTCCAGCAAAAAGTGCAATTTGTAAGCAACGGGATTTGGAGTCGGAAAATGAAAGGAAAATACAGATAATGGTATGGAAAGTCACGGGCGTTAGTCCCGGGGTGGGGTATATGCCCTCCCCCCCCCCCTCTTCTTGAAGGAGGGGTGGCCTGTGCAAATATGCTTGTACTTTTCAACGACATGAATAATCGTTAAGTCACTCAGTTGTTGTTAGTGTCAGTGACTAGTTTATATATTAGTGAAATTTCTCTTGAAAATGCTCTCTGTGATATCTTTTAAATTACTGAAAATGGAGGGGGGGGGGTCTCCTCACAATATCACTTTCTTCTCATGACCATTAGATTCATGTTTTTTGTTAAGCAATCATAAGTTTATGTACAGTATTGTTTTTATCCAATATGTCTTTGTTTTTGGTTATCATTTATTTAAGCATATGTCTAATTTATTTTTGGTTTTGTTTGTATTTTTTTGTAATGATAATCGTATTATGTCGGGATTCGATTTCAATGAATTATTTGAATTTTATTTTGTGAGCGTTCGCGCGGAAAAATCTCGGCTCCCGATTGCGAACTCCCCGCCCCCTCCTCAGAACGAATTTTATACGCCACTACTATAGTAGTATCGAAGGGTCGGAGAATTCATTAAACGTGTACAATTGGAACGGAATGCCCTAAGGGGGAATCCAATATTAAGTGGCCTCTCTTTGCCGTGGCAGACTCAAGGGGGGCAGTGACCAATCCACAAAGGGGTACAGAAGGTGGTCACTCCCGGTCCCGTATTGACACGATTCCGTTATTCAGGTGTATGAGGGGTGCTGGTAACCAGGGGTGTGTTTCACAAAGATCCGAAGTTGAACTTATCTCTAAGTTGGACTGAATAATTATGGATAGCCGTTAGCGTCTATGAAAATATTTTGTAAAAGTTATTTCAA